TCCCAAATTGTACCGACCATGGGTAGACTAAAGATTGAAGTAATGCCGCCGGTTCTTTCTTTTGGGGCCTTGAACGAGAAGAAGTCTTTCACCGTGACTGTATCGGGAGGTAAAGCTCCGACGAATGGGTTTTTGGCCTCCGCTTCACTAATTTGGAGCGATGGGGTACATAGTGTTAGAAGCCCAATTGTTATTTACACATAATAACGATCCTTCCTGATTTCCCGACTCCCGTTGCTTGTTCATCTGAATATGAAGAGAAGGGCGTGTGAGTAGAAAGCACTAACTTATATTTTTATGTGAATGAGTTATCATACAAGCCTACAAATTGACAACCCACATATGTGAGGAGTTAGTGCTAACTAGATTGTGGTTAACACCATACTAACCACTCTAATCATCATTTATTAGTTTTAAGTAAATTTGATGGTGGGAATTAATAAGGGTATATTCAGTATTTCATAAAATTAAATTTGATAAATAAATTAAAATTTAAAATACTTTTCTTCTCTCTTATAGAGATATTTTACGTGAAAAATAGTACTAGAAAAATACAATTCTTATGTCTAGTTATTTTACTCTAGTTAGTAGTGTTCACTGATTTTTAAGTAGTTATTTTGGTGGCATATACTAGTTATTTTAATTTAATTAGTAGTGTTTTACCGATTATTATGTAGTAGCCGTCGTCTAATTTTAGTAAAATCTCTACTGGATAATGAAAATCATTATTACAAAATACATACTATACAATCACTACTAATATTATTGTCCAATCACGTTGCGTTGAAAGAAAACCACTACTACACAATCTGTAAGAAGAAAACACAACTAGATTTGTACTCATTTGTCACTTCTAGCCAACCAGTCACGTTGCTTTGTCGTAGGCGCCGACCCACCGATACAAGCTGAATGGTTCTGGTCATATCGCCTGCGCGAGTGAGCACGACCTCTGCGATCTAGATCTCCCCCTGCGACCTCCGCCTCTGCAATCTAGGCTTCTTCGGCTTCTCCTTCTCTCAAGCGAGCGCCTGTACAATCATCGACTTCTTCGATTCTCCTCCGTCGTCGACTACAACTGCCTCCGCAAACGTGTTATTCTTTGTTTCTCCTCCGCCATCGACTGCAATCTCCTTGCAAGGGTTGTGTTCTTCGTTTCTCCTCAGCGTCGACTATCTTCCCCAACGACCACCGTCTTCTTCGTTTCACCTTGCCAAAATCATGTGAGAGAGAGAGAAGAGGTAGAGGGAAAGGAGGAAGAGTGGAAGAGAGACGTGGGAGAGAAATTATGAGAGGCAGCTGTAGGGTGTGATAAAAAAAAGTTAGTATTTATGTTAGGGTTTTAGGGATATTTACCAATTATCCTCTAATTAATTCTAACCCTAGGACTATTATTTTGATCTAAAGGCTATTAGGTTAGTTAGTATGGTGCTAACCCTTTAAGGGGTTAGCATCTAATCTCATCCCCCACATATTCACCCTCAATTTTCCTGTTTTTATGTCTGGCCTCCAACCCATAAATAACTATGTGTCGACCATTTTCAATAAAATGACAATTTTACCCCTTACTTTTGCAAAACCCTACCAAAAGAGAAGTCGCCGCAGTCTAACCTTCATCACATGAAATCTTGCCATCAATTCGTCATATTCCACTCGACCTCATCATCTCCGTGTCATCTACATCATCTCTCCATCGTCATCATTTTCTCGAGAAGCCATCGTCGCCGTCTCTAGTCGTCTTCGTCGTTGATCCAGATCCATAAGGTTGTCGTTGTCAGGTCGTTGTCTTCCAGTTATCCTTATGGTCTGCTTGCCTTCAGATTGAGGTTTTCGTCATCTCCCCATCGTCATCGTCGTCTCGAGAAGTTGTCACCTTCTAGTCTTCCTCATCGTCTCCCCGTCGTAGTCGATCTAAACCTGGATTCGAATCATCGAGGAGTCTGGGTTTCAGCCTTCAAGAGGTTCGAGGAGTTCAATCAAGCATAGTTGACAAAGGCAGCTTGGCAGATATGGAAGGAACCTGTTTATGTTCTTGTCGGGTTGTACAAAGGAAAGTATTTTCTGAACTCTTCGATCTTGAATGCGAGGGTAGGATCGTTACCGTGTTGTGGTTGGCAGGGGGTATTGAGTGGTCATCATTTGTTGGTTAAGGGATGTAGGTGACAGATTCGATCAAGAGCGACGGTGGAGGTTCTCAACGATAACTGGGTTCTGAAATTTCATCGGATGCCTCCAAGATCCCCTAAGGGGATAGTAGGGGTTCATAATAAGGTGGCTTCTTTGATTCATCCTAACCGGGAGTTTGGCGCTTGGATTGTTTATGGATATTTTTTTAGGAGGTTATGGTGCGGGCGATAATGGCTATCATTTGCCGATTTTGACGGTAGATGATCATCTTGTATGGAACGGGGAAGAATTAGGAATCTACTCTGCGAAATCGGGTATCACTTGGCGGTGGCATTAAGGAGGCAGAAGGTGTTCACAGTGAAGGTTAAGCGTGATATACTGATATATCGTCTGTCTTAGATATTTTAACGCACATATTTCATTCATGAGCACTTCTACTATACTTTAAAGAATAACGTTAAAGATACGAATTCAGGTTGTACCATAAGGGAATTTGTACCATAAAGGAATTTGTATAAAAGAGTACAGGTACAAACTGAAGTTGTACCATTGTAACATAACGTTAAAGGTACAACTTCAATTTGTAACATGAGAGCAAAATGACTAATGCATATAAAATTCCTCTTCATCAATAATATTCAAAATTATAAGATTGAAGTTTCTTGATGTGGTGATCTACGAATTATTATATGTCTAGTTTCGCATTAAACCACGATAATCATCAATAATCGACATACATACAGACGCAGTTTTCCATCAAACTTATAATGTAGCTATCCATCAAACACCTGTGAAATCAATTGAAACACGATCAATTTATTACGTGAGATATACAAATATTTGCTAACATAGAACTAACCACAATTGGGGACTAGATACTATAACAACACCCCTTGTGTTGTTATTGTAACAACACTAGTCTCCAACCAATAGGAAGCTAGGGTTGTGATGACTTTTTATTAGATGAGTTGACCTAGTGTAAAATCAAAGCAGGGGTATAATTGTCATTATGAAAAATATGTTTAAATAATAATAAAAATAAAAAAAAATATTTTTTTTATTTTTGGACCAAAATTTTGGCCGCCGAAATCCGTCCACCGATCGCCGGAATCTGGTCGCCGGTCACTGGAATATGCTATTTTGTCGCCGGAATATGCTCACTGTCGCCGGAATATGCTCACCGGCGTCGGAATCTAGTCATCGAGGCTGGAATATGCCTATTGGCGTCGGAATCTGCTCACTGACGGTCATCGGAGTTCGGTCAACGAACTTGGTTGACCGGCCAATGGTCAACGACCACCGGATGTTATGGTCTGCATTGTGAGATTTATGGTTTGGTTTCTCGTATTTATGTATGTCTTTTGTGGTTTGCTTTATCGTCTCTGTGGTTTGCATTAAGAAGTTTCTGGTTTGCTTTATCGTGTTTGTGGTTTGCATTGAGAAGTTTCTGGTTTGCTTTCAAAAATTTTGTGGTTTGCTTTTCGGGGTTTCTGATTTGTTTTAATAGATTTTTGGTCTGCATTAGGACGTTTCTGGTTTGTTTTTGTGGTTTGCTTTATCGTGTTTGTGGGTTGCATTAAGAGGTTTCTGGTGTGTTTTTGAAAATTCTGTGGTTTGGTTTGTGAGGTTTCTGGTTTGTATTAATAGATTTTTTATCTGCATTAGGACGTTTCTGATTTGTTTTGTGGTTTGCTTTATCGTGTTTCTGGTTTGCATTAAGAAGTTTCTGGTGTGCTTTCGAAATTTTTGTGGTTTGCTTTGCGGGGTTTCTGATTTGTTTTAGGAAATTTGTGGTCTGCATTAGGACGTTTCTAGTTTGCTTTTGTGTGGTTTGCTTTACCGTGTTTGCGGTTTGCATAGAGGTTTCTGGTGTGCTTTCGCAAATGTTGTGGTTTGCTTTGTGAGGTTTGTGGTTTGTTTTAGGAGATTTGTGGTATGCATTATGAGTTTTCTGATTTGCTTTTTGTGGTTTTTTATCACGTATGTGGTCTGCATTAGGAGGTTTCTGGTGTGCGTATGAAAGATTTGTCATCTGCATACCAATACGATAAACATAATAATACACCATCATCTTTTCCACAAAATCCACCTCCTCGCTTTCTCGACCACATATCAACATCAGCCCACTTTCAACACCGTCGGCTGCTTAGACAATTACAATTCCACCACACCTCCCGCCTACACATCAAAACTCGCCGCCCTCGTAGTCCTTGAGCTCTTCTTCGTCACATACATCCAACCCTCTCTCCATCGAGACCTTCGTTGATTCCGATCTTGTAGTTGATGTACACATCAGCTACCAGATCTCTTCACGCAGCTAACTTCTCCTCGCTCCCTACGAATTTCGGGAAATGGCAAGTTAGCAAAAGGTAACTCCAGCCCCCCCCCCCCCCTTGAGTATAACCAACCTGAGTATAGTTCAAAGGATTCTTTTGCAACTTGGTGATGCGTAACTCAATATCTTTCTTGGAATCACGCATCAGTTGAGCTTTCGCCTTTTCTCCCAAAATTACATACTTCACTTCCTTTTCTGGGCCTATCAGTTATGCATAAGGTTTGAGTTTGCAGGAACCAACAGACTGATCATCAACATAAGTAACATGAACTATATGGAGTAAGTATTCTGCAATACATAAGAAGTGAAGAATACCAGAATTCAACTTGTGAATAGCCCTGCTTATCTTAACTGATGTAGAGTTAATTCCTCCATAGAGACCTTTGTCAGAGGAAATAGTGACAATGACATTTTTCTTCACTTCAACCCCTATTAAACTTATAATGTAGCTATCCATCAAACACCTGTGAAATCAATTGAAACGCGATCAATTTATTACGTGAGATATAAAAATATTTGCTAACATGGAACTAACCACAATTGAGCTGAATCACAATTACTTATGGGAGAAGATATGTAAAGTCAATATCAACCATCCATCATACCTTGAGCCATGTTTGCCAATTGGTTTCCCTACAATTTTGTATTGAAAAAGTTGAAAGTCATAATTTTATGACCCATGATGGTTTATTAATTTCTTATATGACTAAGTACGTATTTGTAAGAACAACTTAATTATGGTCTTCAACGGTAAAATGACTGGGACAAAGAAAAACATGAGAGCAATTTGTTCCTGAACGCCCTAAGTAGCAGCTCAGCTAGCGGAGAGCCACTCCAAGGTATTCTAATGGCGATTCGCGCCTTTTCGAGATCCAGAATCCCGCGAGCTGCGACGGCTTTCCTCTTCCAGAAGTTGCCGTGTAATCTGACGAAACAGACCCCGTCGTCTTTAGAATCTCTAGTTCCATCGTTATACTTGAATGCTCCTACCAATTCACTTTCCGGGTTCAGGCAATACCACGACGGGAGACCTAGAGGCCCTCTCTGGAGAGGCAAGAAGCTGATTGGGAAAGAGGCGCTCTTTGTGATAATAGGATTAAAGCGGTTTAAGGACGACGAAGAAAAGATCGACAAGTTCATTAAATCGCATGTTATCAGGCTGCTGAAACTGGATATGGTTGCTGTCGTATGCGAGCTTGAGCGCCAGGAAGAAGTCTCTCTAGCGGTCAAGGTATTGAATGTCCTTTCGTACTTATCCAATCCCCTTGTTTCCCTTCAAATTTAGTGCTTTTTGGGCACATTTCGATGTGTTTGCCTGAACAAGTCAGTATTGCCTGCGTATAGTTCGACGAAATGCCTGAATGACTTTGTTCAAATTGTTTTTTAACTTGTAATGGAGCAAGTACGGGTAGGCGTCAAGCTCTTACTGCTGTTGTCGATCTTCTTGATTAATGGGTTTCCTGACTTGGCTTCCCTACGATTTATTGAACCGGCAGATATTTCAAGTAATACAGAAGCAAGACTGGTACAAGCCTGATCGGTTTATCTACAAGGACCTGATAATTGCATTAACGAAAGGCAATAAGATGGATGAAGCAATGCGGCTGTGGCAGTCTATGAGGGACGAGGGTCTGTTTCCTGATTCTCAAATGTACACTGAGGTTATCAGGGGTTTCTTGAGGGATGGATCCCCTGCTGATGCAATGAACATCTACGAAGACATGAAGCAATCACCGGATCCACCGGAGGAGTTGCCCTTCAGAATCTTATTGAAGGGCCTTCTGCCACATCCACTCTTGAGGAATAGAGTGAAGCAAGATTACGAAGAGCTCTTTCCTGAAAAGAATGTTTATGATCCTCCAGAAGAGATATTTGGCATCCGCTAAGGTCTGCAATGTTCATTTGCTACTCTGTGACCTGATTTCTTTCAATCATGTTGATGAATTAGATTAGGGGGTTTGAGAACTATTCGAGCTTAGCATACCAAAAGATCAAGGTTCTGAAATTCCGGTCATTTACTGATGAGACTAGGCGCTTCATTTATCATTGTCAACTAGTAAGGCTATGATTCAACTTTGTAGTTTAAGTGCTTCCAAATTTAGTATCTCTGTGTAGGTCACTCCCTTCTGCTTATGTTCTATGTATGTCTTCCTATTTTGTACTTATCGCTCCGAACATCCCTGCCTCAGTTCATTGCATTCAGTATTTGGCTACTGCAAGCAGCGACTCAATAACTATTCACTCTGACCTTTTTTTATTAAGAGCATATCAAAAGTGAATGTGGTGCATGCTGCACTCTGTAATCTGTTTCATTTAGTTACACAGAAGTTGCACGCCAGTACTTTTTACATATTGCTGAACTTTCAGGCCTCAAACCATGTTGCTCTAGTGACCTCACTGAAACTGTTTTGAGATCATTGCAGGTGACTAGGTACCCAGTTTTCCACAGCACGGATATAAGGAGGATACTGGTTTGTTCCAAACAAAACAAGTCCTCCACTTTCTTCTGGCTTTCAGAGCATGCGGCTACTGCTTTCTCTATCGCAGTCCTATATGGAGAAGAAATCCATAAATCCTTTCAAGGATGTGGGTTGATTGACTTGTCAAAACTCGAACTCCTACTGTATTCGAACTGGATGATTAGGGGTTATGGTGTAAGGCCGATATGAAGGTCATCATTCTACATAAATTTATTGTGAACACTTTATGAAATGGCTCACCTTTCTTAGCTTTCGCTGTTATATACGTCAGTCGCTTGTTAATCTTTCCTCCGATGACCGGATGCTTCCGTGGGGGAGGCCGGCCAGCAAGGAGGGCGCTACTGTGCTAGTGCTTTGAAAATATATCATTGGGTTGATGAAATTGGAGTGATGGATCTGGTGGGTTGTTTCCAATTCATTGTGTGACAAAAAAAAATATGATGCATTTGAGTCTGACAAGTTTCGAAATGAAAGGGTTAATCGATTTGCAAATGTAGGAGGCAGCCAGGCAGGGGTCGGAGTCTAGAGAGGGAGAGGGGGAGCGCCGGAGCGGACAGTATGCTAATGCTTTAAGAAAGTTTGTCAAAGTTTGGGTTTGATTTGATGATCTGCTATATATTATATATAAAATACGGCTAACATTTGTAATCATTAAGTGGACGTGCCGGAGTGGTTATCGGGCATGACTAGAAATCATGTGGGCTTTGCCCGCGCAGGTTCGAATCCTGCCGTCCACGAATGATTTTAATTTTTTTATGCCTCTGAAGCATTATAAGAAATTAATCACGTTTACTCTCATCTCCCCCCTTTTCAGGTTTTTTTCCGCAAACTACCACTGTTTAAAAAAAATTACAAAATACCAACCAACCTAACAAAATCCAAAACTACAATCATTAATCAAAAACCGCATCTCGAAGACGTGGTTCTCCTTCAAACCGCGCGAGGAATAGGTGGTTCTCCACTGGGCAGCTGCAAAACTGCTCCTCCACGTGGCGGTCCATGCAACTGTCGATTGGGAGGTGTTTGTGCCTAGTACGTACCGGGCGATTTTGTGAGACTTCACTGGCTTCGTGCGGTCCTGGGTAGATGAGAGGCGGTCCTCGAAGTCCTGCAAAAAAGGTCCACAGGAGGTATCCTGGGACCTCCTCCGATGCCAAAGTTAGAGAGAGAAGTGAGTGTGGAGTAAATAAGAGAGAGAATCGAGTAGATAGAAGTTACCATAAATGTGTCCCATGAGTGGGTATTTATACTAGCGAACGTCGGAGAGAGAATAATTAATTCCTTGTCGAGCGTCCAAAGGTCGCATAAGGACCCGTTCTCAGGAGGCTGTCAGGATCGTACCTTTGTCAGCCTTCGTACTGAGGTGTCAGAGGAACGTTACTCCCAAATGTCGGGCGGTTACTTAGGATTCTGTTCGGACGATGTCAGGCGGTTCTTCCGGGTTAGGAGCGCGGGGCGACCGCCTTCAAACTGTTACTTGGTGTGCCCCTTGCCCATTTGGGCTGGGCTTGCTCGCTTTCTGGGCCTTTTGGTGGTTATGGACTTGGCGGCCATGTGTCTTAATGATTGGCCCAACATTTGCCCCTTAGGCGTGAGAGGCTTTGGACTTTCGCGGATAAACGACCATCCTGTCATCATTAAGCGGTCATATGGATGCCTTGCCCATGACAACCCGCCTGCCCCTGGCCGCGAGGGCATGAAGCGGGAACGTCTGAGGGGCGGTTACAGACGCATGCGGTCTGTAATTTGGCACGATTGCCGCCAAGTGTCGAACCTCGATCGTGGTGCCCTAACATGACCAGGCGAAACGTCACTCTGGTTGGCTTGAGACCCGAAGTTTACTTTAAGTAGTTCGCGGGGGAGAACTTTTCCACCATTTTAGTTGCTTCTTTGGGAATAGTTCGTCTTCTTCCTCCCTTCGCCTTGGAGAAACTCCGACCCTATTCGCCGTCGAGTGCCTATATATTCCAAGTGCTGCGCCATGTAAATTTTCTAGCCTCTTTCCTTCGCTTTTTGTGTGCCTGCCTTGGTTCTTACCTCTCGGCCTCTTTGTTTGTTTCGCGACTGGATTCGTCGCGGTGGTCTGGCATTGGTGTGCGAACTCGTCCTACGAAAATGGTGACGTCGGTTCCCTACTCGCAGCCGATGTCGAGCGAGGAGAGGACGCCTTCCCTCGTTGTGGGAAACGACGAGGCAGCTATCACGGCCGAGGCATCCGACGCCGGCCGCGTTCCTACCATCATTCTTGAGCCGAATCCGGCGATCTCCGTAGCGCCGCCTCCGTCGCCCGCCGCCGCGAAGAGGGTCGCGGAATCCTTTGGTGGGACCGCTTTTGTTATGCAAGGTATGACCCGCTCTTCTCCCACTCGAATCTCCTCTGAGTGCGTGTGGGATTTATCCGAGTTAGAATTGTACGTTGTGAGTGGTTCTGAATCGCACGACTGCTTCGTCAGTCTCTCTTTATACTTAGATAATTCTTTTGCTAACATCCGCCCTGTGCCAGCTGGGGGTATGGCAACTTCATCTGCGGTTGGGGATAACATGGATGAGGTTGGGCGGGTAGATTTAGGTAGTATATCTTTGGATGAGGACAAAGCGGTTGACAGTGAGGGTGTGCGGTCTGAGGCGCATTCGAGTACGTCGTCTTCTTTGGAGGTATTGGACGCAGAAGATGGGGAACCGCTCTTGCCTGCCATTTGCAGACCCTGTTTATACGATCTTGCGGCATGAAGGGATGTGGGGCGGTCAGGCGGTTCCTTCCGGCGTACTTGAATTGGGGCCTGCTCATACGGCGGGTTTTAAGCTTGAGCAGGTCCTTTACCGCCTGAAGTCGCTCAACCTCCCCTCAGATTGGCGTTATGAGACCCCTTCGGAGGTTAGTCGCTCTGGGTCTTGTCCAACCGGATGGATTCCCATCCATGTGGAGCAGGTTAAGTTGGGGTTGTGATTTCTTCTAGATCCCATCTTGACCAAGGTTCTGCTTTGGTTTGGATGCACCTTGGGACGCTTGTCCCCGACGATCATCTTTCATTCGGTGATGTACCGTTGGGCGTGTGACCGCCTCAACGAGGAACCTTCTTTTGATGCTTTTCGCCTGATATATAAGAGTCGTGATTCGACGAATTGTTGGTCGATCGGGAGGCGGGATGGCGCTGTAGGCCTTGTTACTGGGATGCCGAAGCTAGATTCTCCTTGGTACAAGGAGTACTTCTTCGCCCGGCCTTCATGGAAGTGGTGCTCGGGCGATGTGGAACAGCCGACGGGCTATGTGGTTGGCTCCAAAGAGGCTTGGTGTGCTTCAAGCCAGTTTCCGCGGTCAGTGAAAGACCATGTAGACTGCCTGGTAGAGGGATTTCAGCTGCGGGTGACACATAGCGGTCCCAAGAGAGCTTACCAGCACGTTCGTGGTTTCTATGGTTAGTAAAATCATGTCGTGTTGCTTATTTTTCTCCTTCTCATGTACTTTACTTATTCTTCTTTGTTCTAGGTTTGAAGGAATTGGCCAATGCGAACCGGCCGAAAGGGAAGAAGCGGGGAACCGCTGTTGCGAGGACTGGTGTGGCCTCTTCTTCAGCGGCCATGGTGACACGTGGTGCGGGGAAGAGACCGCTGGAGCCAAGTGGTCTTCATGGAGACGCTAAGCGCCCTAAGGCAGGACTAGCTCAGGGGAGGGTAGGAGAGGCTCGCGGTAAGACCGCTCATCAATCTGACCAGCCCAACCCTATAACTTTATCCCCTCTCGCGGCAACCGATACTGAGGCGGCCGAGCTAGCTTTCCATACCGTGAGCGATCAGCTCGCCATGCCATCAGAGTACACTTCCACTTCGCAGGGGTGCAACCGACGAATCGCTGGAATCGCTTCCCAGTTCTTTTTCTCGGTTAGTCTTTCTGGATTTCGATGGTTGGATCTTGTTGTGAGTTATGATTGACACAACTATGTTTCCTTTGTAGGCTCAGATTGGATTTTCACAAATCATTATGCTGAATGACCGCCTATCCAAGACCGTGGATGAGAATACGGTTGAAATAGCCAAGTTGAAGAAAAGTTTGGCCGAAGGGCGGTCAGCGCTGATAGAGGAGCTGCGTCCCGAGTTGGAGCGCGGCTTTGAGGAGCATTTGCCCAAGAAAAGAGAAAAACTGTCCGCGGAGAAAGAGGCTCATGTGGCGGTCGAGAGTGAGCGGGATAGTATGCAAAGGAAGCTCCACCAAGCAGAAGAGATCGGGAGGACGTTGCTGGAGGAGTAGGAGTCGCTTCAGAAGGAAATAGACGGTCTCAAGCTAGAGAAGACCGCCCTACAGGAGGGTCGCGAGATGGAGTTGGCCGCCGCTCAGGTTGAGGCGGGTCCCGCTTACCTGCAGTCTGCTGAGTTCCAAGCACTCGATAGGGAGAAGTACAAGAAGATTGTGGGTGACGTCGTGACCAAAATTCGCCACTTGTTCCGTAGCGACCAACTGGATGCGGTTTGGGACACAGACAAGGTTTGGGACGCGATTGGAGGCTGGACGGATGCTGATGTAAACTCCGAGGCGGACGAGGAAGGGGATGAAGAAGCTGTTGACATGGATGAGGGGGACCAGGGTGGTGAGCGGTCCCCTAGTGCTTGATACTTTGTTTTGCTGGAACCGCTATGCGGTCTTATATTTTCGCATGCAAACAATCTCTTTAGTTTCCTTGCTTGTTTGCTTATTGTAGTTTAACTGCCTTACGTTTGCGACGCTGATGTTCGGGGCTTTTGGTTTAAGTAAGACATTTCTACTTGTTTGGTGAGCACCGCCTTGCCTTTGTTTGACATTGTTGTTACGACAATGCTGCGATGAAAGGCGTGCGCCTTGTGCTAGATGTGCTTACGAACTTATTGTGTTAGGGGAGACCCTTGTTGGTTGAGAGAAAATGCAACTGTATCACTTTGAGCAAAAGCGGTCCCTTGGTAGCGACCGATACACTGTTACAAGTGGAAGGAGTGTTCCTTAGCCACCAAAATAACTTTGAGCAAAAGTGGTCGCTTGATAGCGACCATTACACGGTTACAAGTGGTGGGAGATTTCCCGAGCCACCAAAATTTCCTTTAAGCAGCATGTAGTGTCCTAGACCGCATCTGAGTAGTACTTTCTCAGATGCATCCCGTTCCAAGTTCTGGAGACTGGGTCGCCATCCATAGTTGCAAGCCTGAAGGTCTTGGGACTTGTTTTTTCTCCGATGAGGAATGGGCCTTCCCATGTGGCGGCGAGTTTTCCATGCTCATTTTTTTTCCTGGAAATCCCGCTTGAGCACCATATCTCCTTCTTCGAGGGGCCGCGGTTTTACCCTCTTGTTGTAGGAAGCGGCGACCATCACTTTTTCGCTTAGGATGCGTTCTAACGCCGCATCCCGTCTGGATTCTATCATGTCCAGCTGTTCCAACAGTTTCCTGTGATTGACCTCCGAATCATACGCTTGGACGCGAAGGGATGGCAGGTTCAGCTCTTCGGGTGTGACCGCATCGGAACCGTATGTCAGGGAAAATGGGGTTTCACCCGTAGCGGTTTTATAGGTCGTGCGATGCCCCCACAGGACATGCCGGAGTTCGCTGGTCCATGCCCCTTTGGCGTCTCTCAAGCGCTTGTTCAGTCCTTGGAGAATCAGCTTGTTGGATGCCTCGGCATGACCGTTCGTCTGTGGGTACGCCACGGAGGCCATTGTGCACGTAATGCGGTTTCTGGCACAGAAATTTTCGAACGGCCTACAATTGAATTGTGTGTCGTGGTCGATGATGATTGACTGTGGGATACCAAAGCGGATCATGATGTTGAACACGAAACTTTTGCACTCGGGCGCTCTAATCGTTTCTAGCGGTTCAACCTCTATCCACTTGGTGAAGTAATCAACCGCTACCACCAAATATTTTTTTCCTAATGGGGTTGTGGGAAAAGGTCCCAGGAGGTCGAGGCCCCATCTAGCAAATGGCTAGGGTCACACCACGCTCTGCAGCTCGGAGCTAGGCAGGTGGTGCTTGGAGGCGTGGACTTGACATGCGTGACACTTACATCATTTTAGTTAGCTTAATATTAATATTTTTTAAATTATGTATGTTTCTTGGGGAAAAACCTTGATTTCATTAATTGATATTGTTTGTTATAATAGATTTATATATGTATAAATCATAAACTTATAGTGAAAGTTAAATTCTTCGTTAGAATGCATACTATATAGTCCGCTATAGGGGTACGACGAAAGTGCTCTCATGGAACGACGTTATCTTGTCCTTTCTAAGAAGGGCAAGATTGGATCCCATTAGGCACTTTAATGGAATAAAGATCGACCGCCATCTCATCACGACATTGGCACCGTTTTCTCTCCCCGCTACCAAGATGAAGAACTTCAGCCATCGGAGCCTGGTAACAAACGCCATTTCAAGCGTCTTTTCTTGTCATTCAATCCATCTATTAATGGTTTTCCATTCTCTGTTCCTGTGAATCAAGTGGATGGAACATACCTTACCGACAAGTACAAGGGTACTCTACTGATTGCCAGCGGAGTAGATGCAAATAGATGTGTATTTAAATTAGCCTTTGCCATTGTTGAGGGAGAGAATACAGACAGCTATGGATGGTTCTTTAGACAAATTCAACTCACTTTTCTGGCGGTACCAACCCTGTGGCGCTCCATATGAAATGCTGCCAACCACTCATATTCGCAACAACTTTAGCTTGTGGAGTAGAGACCACACAAATAACATCGCCATCGATGGGGAAATCGGTTAGGATGGCAACGTCCGTAAGTGTGATGGTGCACTCGCCTTCACGAAATGGCGTTTGTTACCAGGCTTCGGTGGCTGAAGTTCTTCATCTTGGTAGCGGGGAGAGAAAACAGTGCTAGGGTCAGACCCCAACAATGCCAAAATCAATCTGGGACGGAATGCATATGATTCTTCCCAGTCACCAAACATGGCGGCAATTTCTTTCTTCTTTCCATGCCACGCCTTCTTGTAGTTAATGAAATATCCATAACGACTAGAAAAATCGGCGATGATGGTTTTAACCTTCAGGTCGGGCTGCTCCTCAATTAGATGTTTGGTAGACGCGGCAACCACCCTAGATTTCAACTATCGATGGCCTTGAGATGTTATGGATGACACACATGTGTAATGTTCACCGCACGGAATATGACCCAATGGCCGACTCTCTTGCTCTTGATGGCCCAGACCCTAGCCTTGCATCCTTCGTGTTGATTTTGGCATCTAACCATCAGCCTCTTCGTGTCGGAATGGGCTGTGTGCCATTCAAAACTCCGAGTCATTGCTATAGTGGCAATAGCGTGCCGCACCTCATTCTTCATTGCAAATCGTTGGCCCTTCGTAAAGCCAGTGAGTGGACCCCATACTGGCACCTCTGGCGGCTCCATGTCGGTATCAACATACCAATCTTCATTTGGAATGTGATTGTAGTACGGGATAGGTACACGATCGCGAGGCACCTCATCACCGTCTGCTCTGAATCTGGACCGGAATCATCATCACCTTTAAGAGGATCGAAGCCGTCTGCACTGACATCGTCTTCCTCTTCTTCATCCTCAGGGTCACTAACTAGACTTGGATGGACATCTTCCATCTGATCAAGATCATGAAAGACACCTTCATCAGCTCCGTAATGGTAGTTATGGTAACTATCGTCGCCTTGGTAAAAGTTGTACTCGGGTTGGAACTGGTAGCCTTCTTATTGGTTCCCATCCGCCTGTTGAGCTTTGTCTTCATATGATGGGAAGTATTGATGATGACCTCCAGTTCCATCATGATACTCCTGGTATGAATGAGGGTCTTGGTACTCCTGGTGGGGATGATTTTCGTATAATACACCCCCACCGTGGATACTAGATGTTTGGCCATCTCCAGAATGACCTACACCGCCTTCGACCTCCTCGGTGTAAATGAACATCTCCGCTTGTTTAATGTTATTGGTGGTCAAAAATTGGACCATGGCATCAACGTCCTCCTGAGTGGTAATGAGGAATTTCTCATTCCGCAACGACCCGCAAAGTCTGTTTGGATATCGTTACCCCATACGATCAACTCTTCTAGTGTCATCCATGCAGGTAACCTTAGTACACATTTGATGGACATCTTCAAGCATCGATCTCATAACGAACGTCATTTTATAAAAATTGTCACCGACGTAACGTACCCCCTTTCTGGTCTCTTCCATGTAACCATTCCACCGTAACCCAAGCGTGAACTTTTGGAATGCCATCTGCAATAAAATTGTAATTAAGTTACTACCATAAAAATCTCAAATGACAATGAAAAGTAATAAAAAACAAACTTACGAATTAACGTTAATCGCAAAAACTAAAAAAATTGAAGGTGCGCAACTGAAATTTGAAGTAGAAGGAGAGGAGTGAAGATTTGAGTTTTCCGGGCTACCTTTTATAGGCAAAATTTACACTGAAAACTGCAGGGGGACCGGTTTTAGTCTGACATGCAGCCCCCACCCCTGCAACCTCCTGCATACCGACATGCCGGATGTCGGGGAATGGGACTGAGGCACAAAACTCTAGGGAGGGGGGGGGGGTGCGGTTTACGCATCGACCTAATAAACCGCTTGCCTGAGGGGCGATTTATGTTGTCGAAATTAGTTCTGAAATTGGGATAGAAATTCTATTAAGGAGTAGTTTTGCTACGGGTAGAGATGATTATCGGGTGTAGGAAACTAAGAAAAATAATTCAATGAAGGAAAGACAGGTGATTTGGGCACAAGAATTAGAGAAAAAATAAAGGGAAGAAGAGGGAAGTCTAGATTTGGAAGATTGGGCTTTGAGATTCAATCTCCAGAAGTAGCCCTAGTTTTCATCAGCGTCTCCACTCTCCACTCTGCAGCACTAACGACTTTATTCTTTTTGTTGTTAGGTTGAGCGGGTCACCCGCGCACCCGCTCACAACCCAGCCGCCACTCGACGGATGCCTTTCAGCACAACCAGTCACCCACCCACATAACAAAATTCGGCTAAATACAGGTAGATCGGCCCAAACCCGCATGCCCAGCCTTAGTCCTCGTAATGCAAGGACTCTCGAACTCGGATGATATGACCAAACATCATTAAAAACTTACGGCTTTACGTTTTGGAGTAGTTTTTAATGATGTCTCGTCTCCTGTATGGAGTAGTTGTCCAATCTGAAGCTGGTAATGCAAGGACTCACAAGACACAAGAGGTATCCAGTCAAACTATTCTAATTAAGCTGATCAGCCGCAAAAAAAATGGGGAAAAATCTGCCGAAACGAAACAAACTTATCTAGTTTTAGTGGGATGGATCGATCGAGCAGAGGAAATCTCTATCCTTTTCCATCTTTTCAGTAAAGGGGAAGATTCATCCATTCATCATTCGACCCCAATACTGCACTGCAGGACCAATCGAACTAAAGAAAGAAAACCCCAAGGGGCAAAGAGAATATGTTTCTAGTAAGAATACCAGTTGTGGGCGATTATCCTGAACAGGACAGGACTCCCAGTGGCAGTAGTGGTCACGTCCACTGAGGATGCCAGGTGGACCCCACGTGGCACTTATCCATTAACATCGTATGTGTCTATGCGCTTCTGTGGGCCGAGGTCGGAGAAACAGATAGATTCTGATGCTGATGCTGTCACTGTCTGTCTGTCACTGCTGCTGCTGCTGAATGAGTGCAACTGTGTGTGTTAAGATACTTTGGGGATGGATTAGTCGTCTCCTTGGGTCACCCACCGAAGGCAACATGTCTGAATTTATCAAGAATATTATAACCATGGCTGCTCTGGTAGTAAGTAGCCATCAATGGAGCACAATTACTGGAACCATAATCGAAACTAATTTTGGCATAGAGAATAAGAAATCCCTATCATATCTTTGATCTCATCTGCCTTTTGCACCCATTGGTGGAGAAAGTCCAAAGAGATCTTTTGCACAATTATTTCCTAGAATCTGAATTTGCCACTTTTTTCCAGAGAGAGCAGGTTTCCGTATAGTTTAGAAGGGACTACATAAAAGGCTATAATACGAGTATTGGTGTCTTAAAACAAATATTGAAAAATTGTAATATATGAGCTAAGTCTCCTTTCTTTCAAGATTTAACTTTGAACCATACAAATTAACGTAATATTTTATTCATAGTATCTTCTCGCTCTAATTCCTAACTTCGCTGCTGATAGTGATAATACATCACATGAGGGTACAGAAGAAGAAGAAGAAGAAGCAGCAGCAGTACCGTGTGAAGTTATAGTTATAGGTGCATGTACGTAGTAGCAAACCAGGCTGTGTGTATATATAGACTTGTGCTGTTCTCTTGAGATGGCATCCAAACCTCCCAAAATCTCTCAATCATCCCTCTCCCTTGGCCTTTGCAGCCATCTCACGTGAATTGCTTAGCTGCTCTGCTTTTTCTCCAATTTCGTCCCCTGTGTTCCCATTACAACTTTCTTTCCTCAGCCAATACCCGTTGCTTCAATTTGCCTGGTTTTCTTTTCTGGGTTGTTCCTGCTTCGCTACCTACATATATAGTCACATATTCTTTTCCTTCTTTTCCTTTGGTTCTGTTTAACAAATGGAGGGAGACAAGAAGCATGTCAGCGCTGGTGCTGCTTCTTCTTCGTCATTGGCGGCTGAACTTTTTGGGACCAAGGAGTCACCGCCCAGTTCTTCAGCTGGGGTTTTCGCTTCCATCTTCCCGCCTCCATCCACTGTAAGTATGACATAATTAGTTTCTGATTTTTCTTGTTACAGGGTTCACTTGTATAGTCTGTTGTGGAAAGTAGAATCCCAGGGATTTTATGGTGGATTGTATTGCTTCGTTTTGCAGGTCCTGAAGAAGTCTTCCAACTCTGCGGGGGCTGGAACTTGGCACAAGTATCAGCATCACTCTGGAAAGCATGGAACAACAGGTTCGTATAAACCAGATACCTATTGAAATCTTGTCGTTTCCATTGGGGAAGAGTCCTCTCACAAGCTTATAAACCATCTGTGAACAAAGCAGCAATGAATGGTGAGGCTGGAAGCTATGGCATCATGGGTCACAGCAGGGAGAGGATGGAGCCATGCCATCTGAGTTCATCGATTTACTATGGCGGCCAAGAAAACTACTCTCAGTCTCCAAGTAGCCAATCCCCTGGCTCATATCCTATCGTGAGTCTTATCCTTGAACGGTATCATTTAGCCCTTTGTAATAACGAACTCCAACACAAGTCGACTGTTTTTGTTCAGTTCAAGAAAGATGGAGAAGAGGATGATCCTAATGGAAACAATTCCAACAGTGCTTCCAGAGGGAATTGGTGGCAAGGTTTCCCCTTTTTGTTGTGCTACTCGCTTTGTTCTCAAGACATACCTTACACCCTCTCCTTTTCATTAATGGTGTCCTGTGTTTCTGATGATTGTTTCTTCAGGTTCTCTATATTACTAGGACCCTCGACTGCTTTGCCATGCGGATTTACCCTTCTATTTTCCAAAGGTATGTACTTTGAATCCAAAATGCCTGCTTCTTTCAGTGATTTGCTGATAAACTGGTATATGCCAGCTTTTGCACCTGAACCATCAATCATTCCTATTATTTCCCACTGTCATCTTCTTCCATGATCACACAGATGGCATCCACTGACTGTTTCATTTTCATAGCCTGCAAGTGGTGGTGGGGTGTCCTTTCAGTATTCTTAATAAATGGGTGTCCCAGATTCACTTACTAGTAGGGTGGAATAGAAACTGATCTTAGTTTCTGTAGTAATAGGTAGGGTTCAGAAGAGCCCCCACCCACTTGAATTTTCATTCAGAAGCATGAACATCCATTGTTTTGTTGTTGATGTTGTGATTGCAGGAATTCATGGAAATCTGTGGGATATGTATGTTTGAGGTGCAAAATCAATAGTAAACTATGTGGACAAAACTATCAGCCATGGTTAAAAAAGGGACTCTTGCAAGTGGAAGAGCTGATTACGGGTATGAAAAAGATATCTGCTTCCATGAAAAAGATGTACCATAAGTTGTGTGACACTCATTCTTTCTTTTGGTCTCAAAAGGCTGCTGCTGTACATTGTTCTGCGTTTGCTAGCTTGTGAAAAGTGAAAACCTAAAACTGTAACAAACTTCTGGGCATCTCCTGCAATGTATTGTTCAAATAGTATCAAAGGTTGTATTTTGAAACTAATAGCATCCCATCCTTCGTTCCTTTCTGAGCTTCTTAAACCTTCAAACTAGTAAGGAACCATGGAGACATATCAGAAGCTCAATTTTTACCCACGATATTGACAAAGATCTTGTTCATCCCTGTTCCCGGCAGTTGAAATACAAAGGAACAACCTTTCATAAGCAGCAGTCATTTTTGTAGCTGTGAAAAGCTGTAAACCTCTCTGTCTACAAGCCTCTCCTTTCTTCTCCAAAACCGCTCTTCCATCTTCCCACACTTTGGACAGAGCCTTCTTTAGTGAAGCCACAGTGGGAGAGAATGTATAACCCATCTCTCCACCCACAATCACAGAGCCAGTGATGCTAGCCACTCGTGTAGCCATCACCGGCTTGCCAGACAGCATTGCCTCTAGCAGTGTATGATCCAGCCCCTGAGCTCGAAGCGTTGGGTTAACAAAAATATCGATTGCATTGTAGAAGCTGGCAAGCTGAACATGGTCCAATGGCCCCAAAACTATAATACTACCAGCTCCCAGATCTTTGTACCTTGCAGCCCATGGACCATCTCCAGCAACCAGAAGAATAACATCGTTCCGAAAGGCGCCATTCTCAGCTATCAGCTGCTTCAGCGCTTCAAACATCAAGGGGTGCCCTTTATCCTTCACTAATCTTCCAGCCATGCCTAATACTAATGTCTTTCTTCCCGGCACACCGAACTTCCTTTTGAATTCCATCCCTTTTACAGAATCAGGTTTGAAGATCTCCTCATCTACGCCATTCAGAATAACGTGAACTCGCTCTACTGGGATCATATAGATTCTTCTCAATACATCTCCAGCGTGATCACTGGTAGCAACATGGTGAGCATAATTTTGAAAGAACCTCACCTCATCTACAACTTTCATCACTCTGTCCGCCAGTGCATATGATTGAGGCTCCTCGGGACTTCTCAGAAGCTCTTGAATGATGTCTGTGTGAACAGTCTCGTAAGCTATCCCATGCCAAGTGACGGCTAAATTGGTCAGGTTTCTGGCCCTGGTATGCAGCAGTCCCACGCTTTCCGTGTGGATCACATCAAAGGGTCTGGAAGTTGAGTTCTGAAGCTGAAGCTGCTTCCAGACTATGGCTTGGTCTAAATAGCCTGCGGATGTTGGTTTGGAGAGGTGGAAATGTAAATTGGTCATGGGATACCTGGGGAAGGATGCATTGTTGGCGGCTGTTGGTGAGGCCGTGAAAACGTGAAGCTCGTGGCCTCTTCTGGCGAGTGCCAGATGAAGAGTGAGAGCATGGCGTTCAAGCCCTCCAGCGTGAGATCTATGAGGCCATTTCTTCACAAAGAGTGCAACTTTGAGGAGCTTTGGTGGTGGCTGTGAAGAGAAAGATAGATGATTCCAGGCAGAAGCATGAGAGAGTAGATTTATTGCTTGGCTTTGCTTCTGCCATGGCATCTGGGTTTCAGAACTGTTACATGGACCTGAGCATTGATACCAGAAGAGGAATGAGATGGATGAAATTGTGGAGAGGAGGAGAATAGTGAAGCAGAAGCAACGGAATCTGAAGATAGCCATTTGATCCATGGCCATTGGCATGAATACTCTAATCAATGGAAATACTAATATGGAATGAAGTCAAAATCTAACAAGGGAAAACCACAATCCACCAAGAGCGAGCCACTAACGTTTCAATTACTGAGCTCTAAGGCAGATAGCTGCACATGGTTCTCAACTCTCAATTATAGGCACAAGAACCCATCAGATTTCTGCAGCAACCTGTTCAAGAACAGCTAAGGGGAAGAAAAATGGAGAGAAAGTCGAGAACCAGAAAGAAAGCAAGTGAAAGGGAGAAGCAGAGGGTTTTTGGTTAAGCAATCCATCTCATCTTGTGTTTGACTTCCCAAGATTAAAAATTGATTTTACATTGGAGCCAGCAACTTATGTACAACTAATCCAGCAAGCCACAATAGAATAATAAAAATGGGCATGTTACAGATGCTTCAAGTTCACAACTTCCAATAATCATATGTTTAGCTTAAAGGCTAGGCAGGCTCAGTTCTTGTATCCAAGGAAGCAGCAGCTTGTAAGAGGCCATTAAAAACTTGCAATAGCACAATTTTTATTTCACCATCGGTCTACTCACAGAGGCTCGTGTAATGACCGTACATAAGGCTTAAGAAATCAATTGTCTATCACTGCATTCCAGCTATGGCTTACATATTCACATGGCATGTTTAAAGCTAATATTGTAAATCAAATCCGATCAAGATTACAGGAACAAGCAAGAATGAAAGAGGGATTATCTGGCAGGCAAACCTAACGAGTGAAGGCATGAAGCAGAAGGAAAACATAGACAATGGACGCCAAGGGGACCAGAGTGACCAAAGGCGCAATTGCAGCAACAGTGTACAAACTCCCACAACTCAGAACCCCCAATTTGATCTGCACCAAGTTCACCAGCGCCAGAGTCAAGAACCCACATCCCAAAATCGAACCCAATCCCGAAATCAAAGTCCCCAGCCGCAGGGCCTTGAGATTGACATGAACCAGCGACTCATAGTAACCCGGTCCCAGCACATTATCAACAACAGCGGCGGCGAAATTGGTAGCGCTAGTAATATCAGCGGCGCTGTTGTCAGAGAGTACGATGGCCTGCTTGATTGCCAAGGCGACGAGGCTGGAGAAGAGGAAAGAGCTGAAGGCGTAGACGTGGAAGACGAGGAAGTCCTCGCCGGTGGAAGTGGCAGCGGCGCAGGACGGGTCGGTGACGAGAGATGCGGCGGAGCTGGAGATGGGCTGGGAGAGGCCGAGGAAGAGGGCTAGCGTGAAGAGCGAGTTAACGTTGACGATCCCGTCCAAGGCGGTGACGTGGATTTTGGTGGTGGCGGAGGGCGACATTTTTGCGGGGGAGGAGATGGATTTGGTTCTCCGCCCTTCCTTCATGTGGAGGGATTATGAAGGAAACATGAGGCAAAGTGTTGTGTTGGGAATATCATCAATCTGTGATCCGGCGCGGGAACTGTTTGGAGTTGCTTTGCGTTGAAGGGAGAAAGTGGTGGTGGTGGGGGAAGAAGGGCAAAGGTTTTGGGATCGGAATCGTGACCGTTGCGTGCATTCCCTGCAAAGCATTCAAATAACCGAACTCTTACTCTCTCTACAATGGAGAATGCAGCAGGGAGTGTTCCTATTTGTCGCCCTAATTATTTAAATTTATCGCCCTAACATATGAAAAATGACCAAAATGCCCTTGGGTGGGTTTTAGGGTTTAAAACCCATATATTGTAGTAGGACATAATGGTCCTACACTTTTCCACTCTTTGTAGAGACAAAGAGCTACAAAGAGTGGAAACTTCAAACAAAAAACTAATCAAATCCCACACCACAACAATTCTCAACTACTCTCTTCTTTATTGGTGAGTTTTATTTGAATTCGGCTAGACCATCCTCAAGGCACACTCGGCAGTGAAGTAGTCGACCAAAGGTATGCTGCATTCTTCCATTTTTTTTTTGATTTTACGAGAACAAATAGGTTGAAATTGTGTGCACGCCGTCGGAGAGGCAGGTTGAAAACATGTCTCTCCATGGAGGAAATGGGTAGACAACTAGTCCGTTCCTCTCGCTGAGCATGTAATTCACATGCTTGATCCATAAGACACACGGGTAAACAACACGCCCGCGTCAGTGGACAGGCGGGTAGACAACATGTCCGCGCTGATGGACAGACTTGTCATTGACCTGCCCGTCCCGCCGTCATATCCTTTTGACCTCATGTCCTTCCATGGACGAGGCGGGTAGACAACCCGCTCAGCACACGGTTTAATCCTGTAAAGAACATGCCCGCGCACCGGTAGAGGCACCTGCGCAGCAAGTTTGAACCATTGGCGAGTCATTTTTGTTTTCTGCCTGATCGATGGTCGAGTCATGTTTTGCACATGCTTGGGGCCGGTTTTTGTGATTTTTAGATGGATTTTTGTGAATTGTTAGACAAATTTTGATGAAATTCACTTGAAATATATTATATATGTACATTAAAATTTGTTTATTTGGTGTGCTTGTAGGAGGGAGGACAAAGTGTAGAAGCCTCTTTCTTTATCATCATCAAATAACAAGTTTAAAATGAGTGATTCGGTAAATACCTTATTTCTTTGTTGTTTAATAGTTAAATTATTGCAACATAATTGTTTCAAGACTAACGTAAATATTTATACTGTGTATTTTTTGTAGGGAGGTTTTGGAAATGATAAGGGTGACAATGTTGATTACACATCATTTTTCATAAACGATGTTGTTTATGATACCCATGATGATGCTTGTGCGGCTGCAAGGGAGATTGCCATGAGAAATAGGTTTTCCTTGATTGTGGGATCAGTCAAGCAAAATCACTCATCAGAAAAATATCCGCGGTACTATATGGATTGCAGCCATGGCTATAGGAACAAGTCATATACTCCTGATTTGGCAAAAACAACACGGAGCAAATCTAAAACAAGTAAGTCTGATTGTCGTTTCCGCGTGGTAGTGCGTTGTTCATTGGTAGATGGCAAGTGTGAGTGGAGAATTTTTGGTGTTAAGGACAAAGATAATCCGGGTAAGTCGAGAGGATTTCACAATCACAAATTTGAGGTTTATTCTGAAGGAAGTAGGCAAAGGAATTCTCTTTCGAAAGAGAGAAGAATAGATATTAAGGAGTTGGAGGCAACACATACTCAGGCAAGAGATATTCGGAGTTTTTTGAATAGGAAGTACGATGCTCATCACCATATGAAGCAGATTTATAACGAGACAGAAAAGATTAGGCGTGAGAGATTGGGTGGCATGAAACCTATGCGGTGGACATTGATAGAAGCTCAACGTCTCGATTACTTTGTTCAGTGCGAGTTTGATGATGAGCGTCGTGTTTCTAGACTCTTCCTTTGCCATCCAGAGTCTATTCGGATGTTGAGCGCATGGTATTTCGTCATTTTGATAGACTCAACTTACAAGACTAACAAGTATAAGCAACCACTAGTTCAGTTGATTGGTGTTAGTCCGGTGAAGAAGAACTTCAATATTGGGTTTGCATTGGTGTCGGATGAGACGAAGGAGACACATGCTTGGGTTTTGATGCAATTGAAGCATCTGCTTGGTGATCGAACACCGGATGCGTTTGTTACCGATAAGGAGGGAGGTTTGGGTGTCTCATTGCGACAGATCTTTCCATCTTCAGCTCATTTACTATGTGTGTGGCACATGAAGAGGAACATTGAAGCTAAAATGTTGTCTTTTAGGATCAGTCGTGATTCTGCCGAGTGGTTTATAGAAGGTCCATGGGGGAGAGTATTGAATGCCAATACCGAGGCAGGGTTCCAACGGTGTTGGCGAGACTTGCAAAATGGTCATTGGGGTAAAAACGAAAAGTTGATGGACTACCTCAGAAGTGAGTGGATACCATGCGCGGAAAGGTGGGCTCATTGCTACACCAATCGTGTCTTCCATATTGGTAACACAAGCACAAATAGGGTAGAGTCAATGCATTCCTCTTTGAAGAAATGGCTTGCCACTTCGACCCACAAGATCGATACACTCTTCCTCAGATTTCATACATCCGTCGAGGGAAGAGTGATTGAATTGAAGAAGGACTTAGAGGCATCACTTTCCAAGGTATTTTCATATTTTTGCTTATTTAAATTAGTACTTCCCTATATCCTCAATTTGATTTTGACTTAGAAATTCATGATTCGGAAAGGTATTTGCATTAGCCTATGGACCGCCATATGGAAACTTGAATAAGGAAGTAAGCTTGTGGGCGATTGAGTTGATGATGGAAGAACGAGAGAGGGAAATCGTTCGGCGATGTGGATGTCGGCTACCTGAGACACATGGTCTACCATGTAAATGTAAGATGGATGAATATAGTGTTGCCGGCGTAGAGTTGCATCCCTACCACTTGCATCGATTCTGGTCATCTTTGGTGTATGAGAGTCCTCCCGATCGTGCCGAATGGGAAGACCATGATGCCATTGAGCGTAACATTTTTACAGCAATGGTGGAGGATGTGTACAAACAAGGGCCAGCTGCTATTCGGAAGGCAACTCAGATACTACGACCCCATATTCATCCTCAAGTTGAAGGCCTACAAGAGCCTAGGGAGTCAGAGGCTCAAAGGGGACGACCACCTAAGAGGACCAACGCCCGAGATCCTTCTTCGTTTGAGCATGAGAGGGCAAGGGCAGAAAAGAGGAGCAAGAGCAGGCATTGTATGCCATTCTCGGAGGACATTATCCAAACGATGATGAAGAGGATGATTAAGTGTTGTTTCCTTAGATTGTGTATTATTATTATTATTATTATTTTACTGTGTGCTTTGATTTATTTTAGGTTAAATGAATCAAGTAACATGTGCAAATTTACTAAAAAACACAAATATCAAAGATCTAACATCCAAACCTCAAATATGAAACATCCAACATCCAACATCCGGACATCAAACATCCAACATCCAACACCTAAACCTAAACAAACTAGAGTTCCAACATCCAAACATCAAACATCCAAACATCAAACAACAATGTTCAACATATAACAACTACAAGGTAAGTGGACGGTACGGTCTCTGCTGGCGAAAAGCGATGTACTTGTCACGAACTCGTCGAATCATGTCACCATAAGGACCCAACCTGTCAAGATCCTCATCAGAAGCACGAAGCAAAGGATCAATACCATCAATAATCTGACATGCTAGCTGCAATGTCCAAGAAATAAAATTTAGTGTTAGTATATCATAACACATTAGTATAAAATGTTAGAAATAAAATTTACCAATAGGGGAAACATAGAAACTAACCATCTCATACGTTAACAACGCCACCTCCTGCTGCTCACCATCTCTGGGGGGGGACAATGCACGGGTGAGTGCGCACAGTGTACCACTTAAGGTACTCTAGGTCAACGGATCCTGTGTCGTCAAAAGGTGTAGAGTAGGCATCCAAATTGATCAGCTGACCACGAGACCTCCAAAGCTGATCGAGGTCGGGCCCAAAAACGACCTTATAGGTCCCTACAGCAGGTCGACTGACACGAGCTGGTCGAATAGGAGGATCAGGGATCACCTGTCTATACCCAAACTGACGGAGAGTGCGTGAGGGATCGTAGGCCTCAGTCACGTCATAGATACGTATCACCCCCCGATACAAAGATCTAGGTACCGCACGGCCAGGGTGGGCACCAAAAGGAAGCCAGTCCACGTGGTCCGCTGTAAAGCCATCCAACAGTCGACGATAATGATCCAACCGTCGTGGAACCTCACTAGGCCCCCCTCCATGAACGGGACCCTCCCACCTCCTAGCCAATGGGTCTCCCTGTGTCACGGCCTGTGGTGCAGCTCTGTTAATGCGCAACGATGGAAAATACTCATAGATCCAAGCCTGTAACAAGGTCAAGCACCCAGAAAATCCTTTAGATCCTGCTCGACTAGATCTCCCAAGCTGTCTATACATCCAGGCAAGCGCACCAGCACCCCATGCATACTTACTAACCATCTGCAAATCTCTGAAGTAAGAGTACAACCATCCACGAACACGATCAGAACTCTTATCCACAAAAAGCGTGGACCCTATCAAACACATCAAATAGCATCGTGCCTCAGCATCCCCATCCTCCCTAGCATGTAGACGTGTCATGGCCTCATCTACCAACATCCCACCACCGTCATACCAACGGATGCCACGCGCTGCCACTGCATTCTTATCTGGAATCCCAAGAAGATCAACAATCCCACTCACGAACGACGGATGACCCTTAGCTGGTGCAGCAAGTAACTCTCCATCCACTGGAATCTGGAGCAGGAATGAAACATGTGAAGAGTGATGGTCATCTCAGTCGATCCACTCCACCCTGCCGAGTGTAGAACTGATACTCAGACATCACTCGAAAATCCAAACCCAAAGTCCACAAACGATGGCTTATGTGACCACCGAAACTAGGGATCAAACTGTGGTCACTCGGACCCCCAGGACCTGCTCCTGTAAGCAGCCATGTCTGATCCACCAACTTCTTCCGTGAAGAGACGCTCCCACTAGATGATGAAGCAAAACGCCCATCCTTACCACGTAGCGGCCCAACCCGAGTACTAACATGTGTCGAGCCAGTAGACACGTGATCGCTCGAACCTACAGGATGGCCCTGGTAAAAAGCATCAGGAAACGGCAACAAGTCACCCTCCTCCTCACCCTCCTCATCACCCTCATCACACTCATCATCACTGCTCGTGGCATCCTCTACCAAGTCATCATATGTGTTGATGACTCGCATCTGTCGAGAATCATGGCTAGAGTGGGCAGGATCAACTACAGCTTGACGAGCAAGCTTCTCCTGACGCTCCAGCTCAAGAGCTCTATCCTTCTCCTCCTGACGTTTTCTCCGCTCAGATCCAGTAACATTGCGTCCAACAACCCTCGACTTTCCCTTTCTTTCGTTCATTTTTACCAACTATCAAGAAAATAAATTTTTTCAGAATTATTATTAATCATCCTAAACTTTTTAACTATTCCTAATAATCATTAACAATCATAAACTTTATCAATTGAATACTACTTATATTGTCAAAATAACAAAACATCATGCTAATTATAATTAACAATTCAAATCAAGTTTATCAAAATTCACATTCTAATATATGTCGCATAAATAATCATTCACAATTATTATTAATTAAAATCAACAATTCAAGAACCTATGCATTTAAATTAAAAAAAAAAGTTGGGCAGAACAGAACCAGACCGGTTGGAAAACCAGACCGAACCGGGCCGGGTCGGGGCGGGTTGGCGACCCAGCCACCGCCCGATGCAGGCGGATTACCTGCCCGCCTCACCCCAGATCCGGCCATTCCATCTCCCTGCTATTTACGGCGACGGGGCGGGTGGAAAACCTGCTGCCGGCGGGCTAAAGAACCTGTCTTTTGCCCGCCGGCAGCAGGTTTTCCACCCGCCCCGTTGACATCCACGAAAATAAAAATAAAAAAAAGTGGAAAGATCCATCAGACAGGGCGACTCACCTTCTCCCGGAGACGACGACAATGGCGAGCAGCGAGCAGAGGAAGGCGTGGTTGCTGGAAGGGCGGCGGCGTTGCTGGTCTTCGATGGCGGCGTTGCTGGTCCTCTCGGCGGCGGCGGATTTGCAGGGAGATGGCTGGGCGGGGGGAGAGGGAAGAGCGGCTGCGGCGCCTGCGAAGGAAGGGGGCGGGCTGCTGGGCCTGGGACTGGGAGGGAGGCTGTGGGGTGAGGGTAAAATTAGGTTAGGTTTTTTTAAGTTGGGGGTAGAATTGTCCATTCAATAAATTTAGGGCGATTTATTTGAAAACTTAGGGCGACGAATAGAAATTCAGTAATATTTTAGGGATTGCTATTCGTCGCCCTAAAATTCCTTATTCGTCGCCTTAAATAAATTAATTTTACTTTAATGTTCTTAGTTAATTTATTTATAGTTTAAACCGTTGAAGCCAAAACAAACTTATAAATTACCGGGGGAAAAAAAATCACAGCATCAATAGATGCATTAACTAAAATAAATTACTAATTTCTAGTCAAGTTTCATCTTTATACTGTCAGCAAAATCAATTACTAATTTGGAAACAATACGAAGTTTTGGAAGAAAGAACATCATGCTAGAATCGGGGCACCCACTTCCACCAAATTCCAAAACTTTGGTGCTTAAGAGTAATTACACGGTGATCAGAACATGACCGCAGTTCCCTAATATGCTGCTTGACAATCATCAGTTGATCACCATTAGCTTGAGCAAGTACAGAAGGAAATTTTTCATTAAATGAGAGTGCATTCCTAAAAGCTGAAGTCCCCAACTGCAATTTGCAATTTCATCTCTTACAGATCATAGTTCAGGACACTGATGGAATATTGGAAACAATAGGACACAAGTGGCATTTTCGGGATAGTTCGGGTGTTGTAGTGGTATTAGCCCTATTTGAAAAAACAAAAGAAAGTCATAACTAACTTGATGAACTAGTAGTGGTCGCTGCTAGGGTGGGTGATCTATGGGTGCGATCTAGTATGATACCAGTCAACGTAATCCTCCTCGATCTCCGATGGGTGCTTGCATGGCTCAGAAGAAAAATCCAAATCAAGACGATGGGCTGCCAAGTTATCCCACAACTGATTCGTGAACGAATCCCAGAAGACAGTGTAACTACTGCCGGAAGCCGAACGGTACTGGTCATGTGGTCCATCATAGCAAGGGGGATAATATGTCGGTATCCAAACTGGTGCAGACAACGTGCAGGACCGTATCCCTCAGCAATGTTAGATAAGCGAAGGATCCCATTGAACAAGGAGCGCGGTATCTCCATGTAGCCATCTCGTCTGTATGGAGTCCAGGTCACATCCTATGCAGAAAGCTCATCCAACAACTGTCGATAACGTACTAACCTCCATCTAACATCATCCCGACCTGGCAAAAGGGGAGAAATCCACGAGGAAGCAAGGGTTGCATCAGGAGACTGCGACAGCTGGCTCGTGTGGCCATGCCTAGCTGTCTGTATAGGTCCTTCAGAAACAAGTTGATCACAAGAGGAAGGCGATTGTGACTCTTATCCACAAAAAGTGTCGATCCTAGTAACACAAATAGGTAACACTCCACTCCATCTCCCTAATCTTCAGCTCTCCCACACGCACCAACAATCCCTCCTCAGGCATAGCACCATTATCGTACGACTTAGACTTCCACTTATCACCAACTTGAGCATTCACCGAAAGTCGAACTAGACCACCCATGTCTGGCTTAAGAATATTCGGCGACGCCTCATCTCTCATAAGCTCTCCATCAACCGGAATACGAAGAATGTGATGCACATCGTGTAGAAGGATCGACATCTCTCCAAATGGCATGTGGAAGTGCTTGTGTCCGACTGCCACCTCTCCAAAAATGCCGACAATAGAGCCATGTCTAAATGCTGCATCATGCACCCTGTCAAGTTAGACAATCTTGTGGCATCAACCATCTCCTGGGAACCCTCTGCACTCCACTTATATCGCCTCAAATACTCTAGAGCTTTCAGTCTATGGAAGCCGTTCAACACTCCACGGTCCTGCTCAGGGGAAGTCCACAGTACAAAGCTTATGTGACCCCAAAGCTAGGGATCACATCGGGAATCATTGATCCTCCTGAACACATTTGAGACTCCGATGTAAGAAACCACGACATATCTTTCCTCATGGTCTTCCTCTTCCTATTTCCATCTCCGCCTTCCTTGCTACTAGGTCTGGCCGCATAACGTCCATCGGGCCCACGAAAGTTTGAGGAGGCAGTAGAAGATATCCCGACCCGCGCCGTCTTCCTCACACCTAAATCTGCTTGAGGTGGGTCATCCCCAACCTTAGCATCACCAACATCACCCTCATCATCATTATCCTCATTAATGGAATCGCTCCAATTAGCCTGCCAAGCCGGTGTGTCCTTCGCTCTAGGATTACTGGTAGTACCTCGACTAAGAGACAACTGCCCCATAGTAGGGTGGCCTTTAGGGCGCACTACTTCCTCCTTCTTCTTCCTCCTTCATTGACTGCGGTTTACCTCGACCACTACCTTGTTTCGGTCATCTTCTTCGGCGACGACGAGCAGGAAGGCGATGACGATGGGGTTGGTTTGCGGGGTAGGGCAAGCCGACGACGACGTTGGGGACGGGCGCGCCGGGTAGAGATTCAGCAAGGAGACTCGGGGCGCCGAGAACAGGTGGTTGGCGATGACGACAATAGGGGCGCGCCGGCCTGGTGCGTCGGGAGAGGTTGGAAGGACGACAGGGCACGCCGGACTGGTGCGCCGCCGTAGTGGGGTTCGCTGGACTGGTGCAGCGGTGGAGGTGGGTTCGCCGGCTGGTGCACGAGGATGTCGGAAGAGGTGAAAGGTCAGCGGCCAGGATGTTGGAAGAGGTGGGGGAAGGTAGGGTTTTAGGAGTTAGGTGATGTTTGGTTGTTTGAATTTTGAATTTTGAAATTTAATTAGTGGTATATAGGTAATTTAAAATTTAAGTTAGGGCAACAGTTAGCTATTTTAAGGGCGATATTTAGTGATTCAGTTTTTAAATATCCAAATTCGTACCCGTCTCATACTCATGCGGGGAAGTTTTTTCAAACCCATCCGGTAACCCGTGGGTTTCAGGTACCCGTGGGTAATACCCGCCTCCTTTTAACGAACATTATTATACCTAAGACTTTGCATATAAATTTTCAAATATAATACTAAATGGATCTATTATATCATGAAGTCAAAAAGATACAATCATTCTTAATACAATTCAAATTATATAATTCTAAAACATCCATTAATCCATAAGATACAGTATAATATTTTCCAAATTATTATTCTCTAACTCTAATACATCTAATAAGTAATAATTAACTAAGATAATTATCTTGTTAATATAAAGAAAAAGTGAAAGAACGAAAGGAGAATTGAATGAAAGAAATTAGGTTTTTATTTGGATGACCACTCAATTGTTTTTCTACTATTTATTTTCTTAAGTTACATTATCATTGATAGGTTACAATTTAATCCATGTACTTTATATATGTGAAGAAATATTCTTGGTGAGGCGGGTATTGGTATGGATATGGGGCGAGGGAAGCTAAAACCATACCTGTCCCATAATCAGTCAATGCGAGGATTCCCTACGTTCACTGGATCGAGTACGTTCGGGTACCCGCGATCATGGGTTTGATTGCCATCCCTAGACTGGAGAGTACTAATTTTACTTATTTTCAGTTCTCCTCTATTTGGGTTGGTTTAAGCTAAAATGGCTTGTTGAAGACTGTTTTCATTGTACGTTTCCGCCGATCTGGTCCCATAAACCGCTCTGATAGTGGTTTGACAACTTTATACAATTATCTAAGTCATAAATCAGGGTAAGGAGCTAATAAAAGTACATGTAAAATCAGTAGCAAATTTGATAAATAGAACAATTTGTAAAGTTTCAGTTTCATCAAAAATCACTGTTCATATTTATTGAGTCTAATAATTTTGGAAAAAATTCCAAAATACACCAGTTCTTATAAAAAATTTCCAAAATAAATAAGTTACAAAAAAATTCTCAAAGTACACATATTTTACATTCACCATTGTTAAGGTTATCACTGCATTAAAGAGCAATGGTGAAAATTTTGTCGTTTTAGTCAACAGTGGGGAAAGGATCACCGTTTTTGTTTAAAGTGGGGAAGGTATCACCGCTTTAGTAAAAAATGGGGAACAACAACCTGTTGACGTGTAACGCGGTGAGACGTCGGATATGGGAAGAAAATCATAATCTGCGTCTCACCGCATCTGACGTGGACAAACTCAGGGCATTCACTGCGATTGACAAACGCGGGGAATGCCCTGCAATCTACGTCAGGGATCCTCGTCGCCTGCCCCTTCACCGTTGTCGTTAGGTGCAGTGAGGAGCGGATTCTGATTTTTCCTCCGAGATCTAACGC